GGGGGGGGGGGGGGGGGGGGGGGCGTTCCCCAAATAAAGAAAACAATCCCAAATATTAGTGAATTTCTGTAAAATTAAAATTTCTTATAATTACACTTATAAATAAAACATCTACCACTTAACATGTTTAATATGTGAATATACAAATTGGCAAGGTCTCAGACCGCATTTTATACAATTTGCAAACAGTATGACTATAATTAGTGTAGTTGTGCACAATATAATTATTGTCATTGAAAATTCATTTATCTGATGATATAGATAATTAAGTAAACAAAAAGCTAGGAGCAAACAACAAGGCACTAATTGAATAAATATGTTGTTTATATTGTGACATATCGATATTGATGTCTTTGCCCAGAATGTATTATCTTGAAGGTTGGATCGAGGTATAATGGTAGGTACAGTACACATATCCATGATTTCGTATTTTATACTGCAACTGTACTGTATATGTGTTATCGTTGTCCAATGGCACACATGAGATAGATAATGCCTCCATGTAATTCAAAATAAGTAAGTTCTTGAAGAAAATTCCAGTACAGTTGTTATCTTAAAGTGTATTCACTATTTCACTATTCATACATAACATTGTGAACCAATCCATTGTTAGTAGAAGCCACTGGTACTGTAGATTATTTCCCAAAGTCTAAATTTGTTGTAGTAGGTAATAATAGCATAGTTGTAGTCCCAAAGATTTCAGTGCTGGAGTTGGTGTATCAATATTCTTCGAGTTAATAGCAAATATAGCAAAATAAAAATCCATTTCTTTAAAGTAATAATCCATTTCTTTTGGAACGAACAGTTTGTTACAAATACTAGACTTTGTGCCAAACATCCATGTACAGTCTCCCTTCAGAGTATTAAGGACCTCGTAAAAACCTATAAAAAGAAAAAAAATGATTTGTTAGCAACCAAAAGAATGACATAAACCTATGCCTATAAGTGTAGTGGGACTTTGAATGAGGCTAATAATTTTATTGCAGAAAAATATACTTACCAATCTTCACCTTGCCAATCATCAAATTTCATACATGTACGGAGATAAAACAAATTTAATTATAATATCATTATCTTTAACTTATATAATATTACAATAAGAAATGTGTAATACATTTCATTGAGTGATACACGTACATAACAGTACATACATACTTAACTAAGTTCCGCCATTGGAATTCTTGAAATTATTCAACCACAATGGTTTGACGAGCTAAATGCACTGTGTGTACTTTGTGCCAAACGATCTAGCCTGTTTTCCTCTTCAAGCCTGAACTGCAAATTCGCGGAAGATTTTAAGCTTGTCAATCTTTCGTAAGTCATTGGTTCAATGACACAAGATGATAGTGTTTTTACTCTACTGATTGCAACGTAAGAGACTCCAGCGGTTCTCTCAGACTTACCAATATCTATCCAAGCTTTTGATGGGGTGAGTCCCTGACTCTTGTGAATAGTTAGAGCCCAAGCAAGTCTAAGAGGCAATTGTTGTCTTTCATGGAAACCATTTCCTGACTGTGATGAGACAGTGATTGGACATATTGGGACACAAGATGGTTGTGTGTCATCAAATGAAGGACCTCTGTAGTTATCAAATTGAACTATAACACCAACAGGTAAGTCTGGTGGCCGATGGTTGCTTTCGAAGATAAAATCAATGACTGTCCCAGTGGCGCCATTGCAAAGACCAACACTTGACCATAAATTCATAGTTAACATCACTTTAGCACCTTTTGCTAAAAACACCACAGGTTCTAATCCTGACATATCTTCTGAAGCAATTTTCTTTGCGATTGCCGATGAATGGCGAGCATTGATATGAGCAACTGGTTGTGCAAGTTTACTCAGTTGGTCATGGTTGTAATTTGCAACTTGCTCATTGCTATAGAAAAGTCTGGTAGCATCTTCAAACTCACTCAAATTTGTGATTGCTGAAGGTTGACGAGTCAAAAGTAATTTCCAGTCATCGACTGTGGACTCACCTTTGCGGAGTCGCAACAACAAATCTCTGAATCGGACTTGTTCAGAATTCATACCTTGTACTCGCTGATTGACAGTAAGCTTAACAGCTTTATCAAACATTCTGTATGTTTGATACCCTTGTTCACCAACATCACTTGATGGTTTAGCATGATAAAGGGGCTTGTCTGCCACAGGTGGTAACTGGCCTGGGTCACCAAATAAAATCAAGGATTTTCCTCCAAGCACCTTGTTGTAACATCCTGTTGCCTGTTTGCAACGTTTATCTACCCAGCCAAATGTAACTTGACCAAGCATGGAGTATTCATCAATGATAATATATTCAACACCATTTAAATTTTCTTGCAGTCTGCACAGACTCAGCCCTGTCAAATCTTTTTTACCTCGTGATCCAATAGGCAGTTTTATAACAATGAGTGAATAGTTATACCTCTTATATTAAAAGCAGCCTTGCCAGTAGCAGCAGTAACTGCACATTTAGCTTGCAAAAGATTACGAATAGCATTAATAAGGTAGCTTTTACCAGTTCCAGCTACACCAATGACAATGAGGCATAATGGTTCTTCGTCAGATGAAGCACTGTTAATATATGTGTTAACAATATTATAAGCAAGCTCTTGCATTTCACTGAAGCTATTTATATCAACAACTTCATACCGTTCATGAATGATATGATCTTCTTTTTTTGTTTTTATCCACGTCGGCATTTCTTGAATTTGTTGCTCAGAATATCGAGCTCTATCTTGGTGCCAGTCATGTGTTGATTCTGGTGTTTGTTCTAAGTTCTCAAATGGAGTGTGAAGATCGGATATAAGACCATCCATTCCTCTCGGGTATTACCTTGTTCTTCACAAGGTTCATCTTCTGGTTCTTGTTGACTCTGAATAACAGTTTGAAGTTTGTCAAGCCAGTCTGGTACATGAGTTTGTGCATAAGGTGTTTGCAAAAATTCTAGCCAATGGTTAATTAAAATTTCATCGGTTGGTTCTTGGTCACCCCATGCATTGTTTTGGGTTGTGTTATAAGGTTTGTACCTCAAGAGTTGATACTTACAATAAAGCCCAAAATTGGGGCCTTTAGGATTGGGAGAGTAAGTAGGAAATATCCTTGGAACAACATTCTCTGGTAGCTTTGTTAGCTTATTGTTAACAACTTTGTAGGTTGTAGCAAACTGAACAAAGTTCATGTCCATAATGCTTTGTGAATTGTCATATTCTTGACGGTTAGCATACACATCAAGAAGTGAATTATCAGTGCAAGAATCACCATCCTCAATAGACGCATTGTCACGTACTCTACGTGAACCATTTAGACTCACTGGAATCACTGTGAATGATGAACTATGAAGTTTTATTGATAACAAATGATGCATTGTCTCTTGAGCTGC